CACCCTTTCCTTTCACCCCTCACTGGTCTCTCTGCTCTTAAGCCATTGCTTCCCTCTTCCCCTTTTCTCTAACTCTCCAAAAATAGGATATAAGAGGAAGAGAAACAGAGCACCCTCCCCTTAAATAAACGAACTCTGGAGTGACAGCAGATGTTAAAATATGGATTTCTAGGCAGCGAAGAGTCTTCAAATATTAACAATTGCTCTCATCAGCTTGCTTGTATCTCCAAAATGGGCTTTGTTTTCCTGTGGTCCTGTTCCCCCAACAGAAGCCTAAGCGTCCCCTAGGAAAGGGGACTGTGCACCAAGGAGGTACACACACCCATCCTGAGTCACTCTCAGCAGCCACACACCTTTGTTTCCCCCATCTTCAGAACTCTCACTCACAGGTTCTGAAATTGGTCAGCTTTGGCTTGGTGCCTTGATTTCAGCTCAAAGAACATCGCAGGTACAAATAGTTTATACAGACTTTATTTTTCACCCGGTGAGGCGAGCACACACAAATCTGGGCAGTTAGGGGGTCCATGAGATGCAATGTCACAACTACCTGCCCTGGTTCATGGACACAGACAGTGAGACTTGGTGGTGAGGGACAGGGGTCTTGTTCCTACCACAAATTGCTACGGGATTATCACAATGACACATTTGTTCTCAGTTCTATCTACACCATGGAGTGTGGAGAGGGTACATTTCTTACACTAAAAATATATACTTTGGAATCTCTAAAACAAAAATATCTCTATCTCTACATGAGACCTACTAGAAAGAACATAGAAAACAAGGGAAATGTACCAGCACCTCGAGTTGTCCCCTTCCGTGGGAAGGTTGCTCTTCTCTCCACCTGACACTATTAGCTTGGAAGGGAAGCTGAATCTAACCAATCAGACAGACAGACACAAATAAATAAGAAAGAGGTTTATGATCCTGGAGGAATGAATATGGCTGAAAGGAAGGAGGAGGAGGGTTTTGGCCTCTTTTACAAAAGGAGTAATTGCACATTCAATTTGGTGCTTCTGTTTCCAACATTATTGCACATGTGAAAAACCTGCATGTTGAAGTCAATTGCAAACCTGCTAAGAGAAGCCCAAGCTCTGCTGATTTCTGCTGGTTTAGAAAAATGCCGTGGGTGGGGTCTCTCTGTTGGGAAATATTAACGCCATCAACTAGAAAAAAAAAGTTCTCTATTCTCTAATGCTGAAAGTGGGTTAGGTTTAAGAAAAAATGCTATTCCTTTTCTCTCCAGAAGGATTAGAAACAACTCCATCCCCTTTGAGCACAGAATCTCCTAAAAGAATTAAGCCTATGGATGAATCATTCTGCTTTCCGAATTTTCCTATTGGAAAGGTTCACATAACACTTCTTTCCTCTTTTCTCATTTCAAGCAATAATACAGTTACTTTACATCTCTTTTGGTTATGAAAATTACCCTCCTTTCTGATAAAGAAATGTTAACTGAGTCAACCGCTCATTCTCTATAATTAATGTTAACAGACCAAGTGCACCAAGAATCATAAAGGATAGATTTAGTAGAAAAATCACTTCTATTTGGCTTTGAAATGTCCTTTTCTGCTTATGCTGAAATATGGATGAGCCTGAGGGCTTGAGAATTCTTAGTCCCTCACCCTAAATAAGGAAAATAACCATAAAGTCCCTTTTCTGAGACGCCCCAGAACTGTCCAACCTCTTCACAGCTCTCACCACCCCCAGCTGGTGGTGGTTTTAGGACCTCTGACCAAGAACTTCTTCCCTCCAAGAACTTGAAAGACTGAAGAAAAGGCAGAAAGGAGAGGAGTAAAGGATGCTTGAAAAAGCTGAGACGGTGGAGAGGAGAGGAACTTGGATGATGTCTCATTTGGCCATCCAGGGCCTGCTCGAAGGATTTCTGCCTAATGGAAGCCCAACAGCTACAACCAAAAGAGAATCAAGGACTGAGAACATTCACTGCAGGGTTTCTGGATGCCCTGCTAGGATGCGGCTTGGAAACCTGAGAAGTTTGAACAGGGTGCAGTAACAAACTGGCAAAGATGACTGTTTAAAAGTCCTAGAAGGAGGTGCTGACTCCCTTGCAAAAGAAATTTAGAAAAGCTGATAAAGTAGCAGATAGAATATATTGATAGAGTTTCTGATGTTAGTAGAAAAGAAAGCCAGGGGCCCTGGGTCGAGATTGCTTCTATACTTCAGGAAAACTTGAAACTCAGAACACGAACATTGAAATCAACAGAGAATATGCCGGAAGAATTACTGATTCGTCTACAAAGAGGGAAGTCTAGAGAGTTGAGCGAGTAGAACATAATGTAGGACTAGGAACTGCCTTTTTTGGGTGACCAGAAACCACAGATTGCCCAGACCAGAGGCTTCTTGAAGGTCCCAGCTTATCATAGCCTGAAATATCAACCAAGCCTGGGACTTAGGACATACCAGGTTTTTATAATATCGAACATTTTTGACTAAGTTAAGAGCCAATCCCATCTCAGACAAAGAGAAATAAAGACTAATCACGCCCTCTCTTGGAAATATGTGGTTCACTACCCCTCTATCTGAAAGGCAAGTTCCTACAAATAAGGAGATGGGGCTAGGAATTGTATGCAGTAAAGACCAGATCTCTTGAAAACCCTGTCTTCAGAAGCTGGAAATAATACCTAGCCACAAAGAGCCAGTCTGCGTTTTATGCAACCAAATGTATTCGGCAATTTCACAGCCTATTTCTGCTGGTCTTCATCTTCTCTCCAGACCTACACCCTTCCATAACAGTCATGGCCAGGAAGTAACCTACCCACTTTAGAAACTCCCGTTCTTTTCCCTTAGAACTAAGATTCCACCCACTATCACTCTTAAATCCCCAACCTTCCTCCCTTCCTATGTCTACACCACCAGCCTATCAAGGCATTGGACCTGTCAACACTTAAATTGTTCCTGAAACCTCCCCTTGTCATAAAAGAGGTAGACCACTTCTCTGGCCCAAGCAAACATGAGCACAGAAATCACCTAACTACCTGCCTTGCTTTCTACCTCTAAATCCATTTCTCCTTCATGTTGAGCTTAAACACTTTTTTTCTAAAGACTAATCTGCCTGTATTTATCCTCAAGCTATTCTACCAGAGAAGTCTAAGATGGGAACCCCCTAGATGGGAGAATGATTATATTTTTTGATGTCCCCACAATTAGGTGCACAAAGGCTAATAGTAGCAATGAAATCTCGTGGCTACTCTCTCATTTGTCGATACACCATACATGCAAACACACATACACATGCACTGCTGCTGCTTCGCCTTCACACCCAGTTTCCTGCCCCAAACACTGCCCATCTTCACTCTGCCACCACGGCCACCAGCCACAGACCTAAGCAAGGAAGCAACCAAACTGAGGTGGAGTGTTTGGTGGGATTTGGGAAAGAGGAGAGATTAAGAGTAGGCAATGGTTGCTACCACTGAGATGTAGCAGAAATGAGGCTGGCTATTGTTTGAGAAAAACCTAATGGCCTAAAAGCGCTGGCAACACCTTTCAAAGTAGCTAATGTTCCTAAGGTGCAGTGACCTGGCAGGGTCTGGCTTGGGAAGGACCCAAAGGTGCACAGGGTCCTGTAACTGAACTGCACAGTTAACAAAGGCAGGTCTCCCCCCACTCAAGCAGCCTGGTGTACATTGGGCAACACAAGACATCAGTGTATTAAGAGAGGCATTTTTTTCTAAGTGATACTGTCACCTGGTTTTGTTACATTCCTTACAGCTGTGCTGAGGGCAGGGAAAGAGGTAAAATAGTCACCAACCTCCCTATACAGAGGATGGCAGGCATAGACGGAAGGGGCAAGATGGAGCAAGAAAGGGAGGATGTTCTCCAGGAACAAAGAAGATGAAAAGGAGGCAAGCTCAAGGGAGCAGCTAGAGAGGGCAGGGAGAAGTCAGCAAGACAGCTTCTCCTATTGACGGGCTGCCTTCTAATTTTTCCAAATTAGGTAGGTAAATGAGTACAGATATTACATTTGTGCTAAAGTGATAAAATTTGAAGCTTCGGCTCACAAAGATTTTAATGCCCATATAGTTCAAAGAAGCATACCCAATCCTGTCTGCACCACATGAAAGGAAGCCAAGGCTTTCCCTAAGTCGGCCCTGTGAGTAGAAATCAGACAAATCAGGAACGACACCCACATTTCAGAGGGATGTCATTTTAATATTTTAAAGCAATGTGACATTCAGCCAATAGGCACTGGTATGACCACATATACTGCTTGTTTACAGCCGGCATCCATTCTGAGTGGTTGGTGTCTGTCCTGTACCCGTTGTTAAATATTTTGAAAATCATCTCTGTATTAAAATAATTGTGGCCCTAAGAGATAGGGAAATAACAAAGAAACACAGGATTCCTTCAACATCGAAGGTCTTTAGAGTAAGGCTAGAATACATTAATATATTTTAAGAGTTTAAGGAATGCAGAATTCAATAAAGTGATGTAGCCAGCTCTTCACCTATGAAAGGAAGATACACGAGGGGAACTTCCCACTGTACAAAGATTTTCCAGGATGGAAAACTAGTATGATCAGATTCCCTGGGTGCCAGTGGGCTAGCTAGTCACATTCTGTGCACAAAGGAAGGAAAGATCTACACACACTGGATCCCAAACCCTTGACGTTCATTGTATCATAGAAGAGAAGAGAAAAACTATAAATGTAGTTTTAAATGAAACACCAAAATTAATTTCACCACTTACAGTTCATTTCCCAGTGTGGCTTTTTACATCTGAGAGTCAGTATGTTTGCCAACCAAAGAAATCCATGGTAATGAAGAAACCATGTGGCTGAAGGTGGTTTTGGTCCATTGAACTGATGATGGTTCACTACTAAGGCAGCTAAGGAGATAGTACATAAGCACTTGGATCTCACCAGGATGGAATCAGAATGTATCCTCAAGAGACAGCAGCAAGACGTCACATAGTCCCACAAAATGGCCAATAAAAACACCATATCCCCCTTTCTACTCACAAACAACTGTTATCAAATCTCTCCCAGATATCTATTATAGAAAGCAGACACTATGACAAATCTTCAGACCAGGAAGTCCTTCCTGGCCTCTAAACTAATTCGTTCCGTAGCAATCTAGGCTCATTCTCTTACTCTATCCTCAGCGAAAATCTAGAGAAGCTGCTCATCCTCATTTATCATTATTGATTTTCCCCTGAGCCTTTTCCTATCTTAACTCCAGTGTCCCTCTTGGCCCTTGTATCAACCAAGGTTCTCGCTGAGTTATGCAGGCCGCTGCTATAGAGTGATGAAGACGCAGCCAGGTTAGAGGCATCTTCCTGGCTGTAGTGGTTGGCACTGCCAATGCCCTGATTGCTGACCCTCCCAGTAGCAGACCTTCTGACAACCTCTGGGTGTGACCAGCATCCCCCAGGGTAGGCAATCAAACCAAGGCCCAGGGCTGCCTAGGGGCCTGCAGGTACTAATAGGACTGGAGAGCCTTCCCTTTCCTCTCTGTTCCCCTCCTGCTCCCCCACCCCACCCTTTAGGAAGAGGGACCTCACTAAAGGAATCCTCAGTGGCAGAATGGACCCATATGGCTCGGCAGGCCAGTAGAGAGTTCAGAGAAAATGTCTGGAAAATGGGAAGCTAGGTCTTCAATGGTGGCAGTTCTGAAGAGAAAAAGAAGGAAGAGGAGGAGAAGAGCCAATAGGAGGCGGTCTTCTGCTTCCACATTCACACCTGATGACTGGCTGCTGGTATGGGGGTAGCTGGATGCCCTCCAATGCACATCAAGAATAACTGAATGCTTCGGCATGGCTTTGAGATGACCAAGGACAAGGCCGGTCTTGCTTCTTCTATGAGAGACTTGCCATTTTCTCTGTCATCAGAACTTCCCTGAGGCACCTCATGGCCCAAATCTTCCATCCCAGCAAAGACTTAGTTGAAGAGACTGAATAAAAGTGTTACAATTAGACAAAAAGGGAACACATGATTCATTCCTGCTTTTAACACAATACTTTGAAGATGTCACCACAATTCGGATCTGGCTATATTTTAAGTTCATTTACAAGTAGACTAGTTCTTAACTAAAAATAACCATGTGCGTTATACATTTCTACAGCTGCCTGGATTTTCCTCTGAAGGAAACAAGATTCTATATTTCACTCACATTCAGCACAGATTTATTTTAACCCATTTGATAAAGCGATAAACCATCACTCCCACCCACTGGTGGCTGTGACTTTTCCAAGCACTTCGGTTTCTCCTCAGAGCAGCCTCAGGAGTGAGGCAGTTAGTTGTTGTTATCCCCATCTCACTGCTGAGCAAACTGAGAGCCAGGAACCGTGGTCTGACAAGTTATCTGTGGAATTAATAGCAGGACAGGTCTCCTGATTCCTAGCTTTTTTTTATAATAATGAGAAAAGTTGACTTTAATGAGATCTCAGATTTTTTCCCTTTAGTTATTTGACTACTTAAACTTAGATGGTGTTTGGACTAAATTATTCAAGTAATTGGGGCACATAGCCTACCTCAATGCAGGCAAAGATGCCTCAAGTCCTTCCATTTTGTTCATTAACCTGATTAAAATTGATCTATGCCATTAGCAAATGATAAACAGAATTTAGTTTACAAAATAAGAAAACAGTTACAATTTAATATTTCAAAATCTTTACTTGGCGATAACTCTCATTATGGAGCAAGTTAAAGAATGTATCAATACTATCGACACTATCTGAATGTTTTAGCAATTTTCCAGTTTGCAGTTTTCAGGTTGCAGTAGCCAGAGAGATGCCCTTTAGATTTTGAAATGAGAATTAGAAAGAAGATTAAGGGAACTAAATAGGTAAAGCAAATTTACATCCCAAAATAATTCTATCCTGACTTTGGACCTGTGTAAATGGGCTGCTCAAAACGGCCTGTCTATTCAAATATTTAGAAAACATTTTTACTTTTCTTAATTTTATAGCTATTCTTGTGGGGTTAGTGGCAGTCCTAGAAGTGCTACTTATTACATAAATTCAATTTTTGCAAAAGCCAGAAATAAATAAAAATAAGACGTTATAATTCTCTTTACCTCTTTTCCTTTGTATTTCCAGGATTCATACTGAGAGCTTTCCAGACCGTAGTTTTAGGCATTTCATCAGATATATTAATCTCAGAGGGGTCACATCTGAAATCAATGCTTAGGACAGTGAATATCAGACATCCAAGTAAAATGCGTATCTTGGTCTATAATGATCACCACCCCACCAGGAGGGAAAAGATTGGGTCTGAGGGAGCCCAGCCAAGTTGTCAGTTCTCAGGAGCTCTGGGAACCAAGTGGAATCTGGTCATTTTTCTGCAGCCACGGAGGTCGCAATGGGAAGAGGCAAGGTGGCCCATGAGGTGGTGCTGAAGGCTGGGCTGGTGTGCCAGGTGGCAGCCAGTCCTGCGCCCACAACTGTGCACTCCTCCAAAGGGCCACACTGGAGATGTGATGGCTATGATGCCAACAGTGTAGCATCAGGAGCTACCACTTACTGAGTGCTTGCTGTATGCCTGGCGCTCTTCATCCATTTCCCCACTTTTGTGGCCAAATCTCTTCCATTTGTAGTTCACAAAGGACTTTTATAATACATTATCTTAACTATCACAGCAACAGAGATTATTAACATTCTCATTTTGAAGGTACAGAAACCAAAGCTCACAGGGCTTAGTGACTATCTCAGGTCAAACAATAGTAAGTACAGAGTCAACTTCACGAACCTGGTCCTTGGTCTCCTAGAGCCCCAGAGTACTGTGAAGTTTTCTGCAGGTGAGATGGTATCCTAAAATGTCAAGAGAGGAGGCAGCATCCTGCTCCTACTTTGCCACCAGATAATCCAAAGCCTGTGGCTCCTTCTGTAACAACTTGTAGAATATTTATTAAGGACCAAAGAAAAAGACTTTCCCAATTTCCTCTGCAGAATAAACCAAAACCGACTCAATGACTGAGCAGTAAATTCTTCAGGATCTAGAGTATCCAGATCCCCTGCTCTCTTCCTTCTCTGCTCCCTCTCAACCTCTATGCTCTTTCAGCCAGTGTGTACCTCTTCCAATGCAGAAACAAGACACCAGGAGCAAAACCACAAATGGACAAATTTAGCTTCCTGTGATTTGTGGTGAGCAATAGGTTTGATAGAGAAAGAGGCTAAAATCACTGGCAGAAGTAAGGAATTTTTGTGATCCCAGTTCAGTTCCCCCTTGGCTCCCCGGACTACAGATGCCACAAGCCAGGCTAAAATAAACTGTCTCTGCCTATCCCCAAAGGCTTGCCCCAGCATGGGAATTTCATGCCCCCAAGGCTGAGAACTCTCTGAAAATAAAGACCATATCCTATTCATTGTTGGAAGGTGGCAAAGAAAGGAAGAAGGAGCACTGGTCTGAGGAATAGACAGACTGGGGTTTGTATCTTAATCTTTCTATCTAGCAGCACTGTAACCTTGGGCAAATTACCTAAAACCCTGTAGGCCTCAGTTTCCTCACTTTACAAATGCGGATAGTGAGACTCATATCAGAGAACTGTTGTACAGAGTAACTGAGAACACATAAATAAAACTTCTAGCACGATCCTGGCCCAGAGGAGGCACTGAGCACTCTGGCTCCCTCCCCCCTCCTCTCCTTGTGATTCCCAGCACCTGGTATAGTGCCTGGCACACAGAAGGCACTCAATAAACAATGAAATGGAAAAGGTGTTTTCACAGGGGAAAACTTGGAGGCGTGCAGCAGCTGCCTTTGTGACACCACCTCTACCACAAAGCCAGAACGTTTATAAGAATAATCCAAACAGTAAGGTCCTTGGTGTTTTGGGATTTTTACCTGAAACTGTTGTTCTTTCCAGGACTACTTAGTAACTTCCTGCTCTCTAAGGGGAACTTGTCTGCCCCCATTTCTAACATTTTCTCAGCCTCCTATAAGAAAAGGAAACATTATTATATCTTAGACCAAGTAAAACCGGGAGTCTCCATTAGCCCATTCTTTTACCACCATGATTTCTACCTGATTTCCTCTCACATTTATTATAAAAGAATATAATGAGGTTCTTTCATAGATTTGACTCATCACAAAATGAGATGCAACCAGATATTTGTACATGTGGAATAGTACTGGGAAAAGAAAAAAGAACCTGAATCTGAGTAAACCTAGATCTAATGGCCAATTTACTGGAAATACAGGGGACAGAAGAGCATGTTAAATGACACCAAGGGACACCTTTAGCAAAATCCAAATGGAAAACCCTGGAGGTCAAAAACCAGCTTCTTCAATTAAAAAAAAAAAATGGGAAGGGAACCCCTAAAGATATTTAAGAAAGATATCAACCAATTATAATATATGGCCCTTCTTTGAATCCTAATTCAAATAAATTATTAAAAATAATAAGGCAATTGAGGAAATATGAATACTGACTTTTCTTTCTACTTTCATATGTTTGGAATAATCTGTAATAAAATATTTTCTTAAAAAATCCCACTAATTTAAAGAAAATAATTACAGAGAAAAAAATACATACAAAGATGTTTAAAGTAGTATAAGTAATAATAAAACCTAAAGCAACTAAAAATCTTAACAAGGGAAGAATATTTAAATTAAATATGAGATAATACTACTATAGAATATTATACATCCATTAATACAATAAATGTGATTATATAGAGACATAGAAACATAAAATTGTCTTATGAAATCAAGTTGAGAGAAAAAATTAGAATACATATACACATACTATATAGATATAGATATATACACACAAATATACAATTATTACAGTTATATGAAAACCATGTTAAGGATTTGAAAAGAACATAAAGAACTGAACATGAGTGTTGGATGTTGAGGTGGTAAAATTTTTTTGTATCAAGTCTTCATCTTTTTAATTGCCTTTAGCTTTTAAAATAATTTTATGAAGTAACACATGTATTAAAAAATACATGCTTACTTCAGAAATTTTGGAAAATAAAGAGTATAATGTCTACCAGCCACCTCGAATTTAACATTCAAAATAAATCTCTTGATTTCCCCCCAAACCTGCTGTTCTTTGGTCTTCCTCATCTTAATAAATAGCTCAACCCATTCACCCCATTGTTCGGTCCAAAAATCCGGAGTCCTCACCTCCTCTCTTTCACCTGGGCCCACCATCCCTTAGCAAAAACCTGGCAGCGCTAACCCTGCCACTTGCAGCACCTCTACCTTAGCCTCAGTCACAGCAGCGCTTGCCTCAACTGTTGCCACAGCCTCCTGACTAGTCTCCCGGCTTCCACTCTGACCCTTCCAACCTCTCTGGCTTTCTCGGTGTTTCTCGAGCATGCCAAGCTCACTCCTTTTTCCAAAAACTTTGCATTCTCTATACCTCTGGCCTGGAATGTTCTTACTCCCAGATATTCTCCAATTTGCCCCTCGCTTTATTCAGGTCTCTGCTCAGATGTCTCCTCAGAGGAGTCATCTCTAATTACCTAAATAAAGTAACTCCTTCATCTGTTACCTTCTTAAAACATATCACTATCTAAAATTTTACATATATATAAAATAAATTTTACATATATATAAAATTATATGTATATATGTAAAATTAAGGCACTATAATCAAGTAAACAAATATATACTTGTTTTCTTGTTTATAGTGTCTCCCCCATGAGAATGTACGCTCCACAAGGTCTGGAACTCTGTCCTTTATACCACTGTGTCTGGAATCGTGAGAACAGAGTAAGCATTCAATAAATATTGAGGAAGGAAGATAATTAATTCATTAACGTATAATCTTACCACCCAGCGAGACATAGAGAACCACAACAAACATTTTGGTCTATTTTCTTCCAATCTTTTTCAAATGTCTGTGTATATGTATGTGTACATGTATGTAATATGTGTATATGTATTAATATACTTTTTAATGAAAATGGAGATTCTTACTTTTTGTTCCATTTTATATTCTCTATTTTTCACATAAAATATCATAAACAAGTCCATGTATCATTAAGTATTCTTTAAAATTTGATTTTTAAACTGTTGTACAATATGCTATTATATTTTTATATATAATTTTCTTTTTTTGCAGTTGTTGTTTTGCATAACACCATAATTCAAATCTTTTGTCACATTGCTGATTATATCCTCGAGAGAATTTAAAAATTAGAGTTGCTGGGCCAAAGGGCATATATACTTTTAAGACTCTATAATTAAACCATTCTCTAAAGAGATTTATGCAACTTATACTACCATTTTTAGTATATAAGAAGACCATTTCAATAATGGTCTTGTCAACACTGGTTCCTTTTATCTTTTTAAAAATCTTTGCCAATTTTATAAGTGAAAAATGTACTGTCCTTGTTTAAATTTCCATTTCTTTGATTTTTAGTGAGAATGAATTTTTTGTCGTAAGGTAATTGGCCATTGTATTTCTTCTTTTATATAAATATAAAATTATAAATTATTTATATAAATTATCCATTTCGATTGCTCATTTTTATTCCATTATTGTTCTTATTAATTTGTAAGAATTATTTGAATAGTAAGAGTATTAACACATATCTCAACCTGTCTGTAATTTTAAAATTTTGTTTATAGACTTTTAGATGTCTGAAAGCTTCACATTTTATATAGTGAATTCCATCAATATTCCCTTTAAAGTTTTCTTCCATTGCTTTTGTATTTATAATTGTTAAAGCTTATTTAGTAATATAACATTTTTAAAATTTAAGCTATTAGAGGAAAAATCTTTTAAAATGCATTTTAAAAGACACTATTTGGGGTACTAACTGTATTTGGAAACACTTGTCAGCTCATTCATATCTTGGTCTGGTATTTTCATTTTGCTACACATTCTTTCTTTGCAGGTATAGGCCATTGATTGAGGATCCATTGTGTAGATAACAAGGTGCCAAGTGCTAAGGGAAATAAAGAAGGACAGAAAGTCCTATGCAAGTTATCTTTGCATGGTGCCTACTACAGCACCATCTGCAATTAGATACATAACAAATACCTTAGGAAGTAATGGGTTGTATATACTTGTTAAATTAGACCTTTTGGAAGAACCTGACCCATTGATAATAAGAGCAGATTCTATGTTCACATTCTAGGTGTGAACCTGGTAAGTAAATTGTAGATAAAACAAAGGAAAAAACACTGGTTATCATCCAAAAATGAAGGACAGACAGGAGCAAAAATCCTTAATCCATTCTCAGCTGAGAACATCTTTGGGGTAATCTGTCCAGTTCCTAAATATAACCCTTGGGATTCTAGACATGCTGAATTTTCATGTGGCCCTATGTTCTGTAATTTGAGGCCCCAAAGTGTACAGTTAGTACAGGGACTATGACCTCTTCCTCCTTGGCCTTCTTTTTGGCATCATCCAACTTCTTCTTTTTGCTTTCTGGCATGAGATCATCTAACCAGCTCAGCTCTCGCTTAGAGAAGCAGAGATCCATGACTTTCCTGACAAAGACCAAGGCTAAAACCTGAAAAAAAATAAAGAAAGTGAGTTAAAGGGATGAATTTCCTTCCTGGAATTGAAAGCAAAGTCTTAATTTCACAGCAGACTAAGACATTGCAAGCAAAATCAAATTCATAATAATCATAATAGTTGTCATTTATCGTAATCGTAATGTTCTTTGTGCCAGATACCCAGGTAAGTGTTTTACACTCAATATTTTAACTATCATTATAACAACTCTACAACTTAGAGAGCAACTAATTTAATTCCCTCATTGAAAAGAGAAACCCCTCATCTGCAGATGGCTCACAGGCAGCAGGAAGGGCTACAGGGCAGCCGTCAGCAGAGAGCCTCTGCAGGGGCTCAGCCATGGTGGGGCCAGCCACACCCAGCCCAAGCCTGCTTCACTAGCAAGTGGATGGTGGGACTCTAAAGACAGGACTGTCTTTATTCCCTGTCACTTTGCCTGTACATTCCCCCATTCCCCCAATTCTTGCTTTATCCTGCATCGTGCATCTCTAGTGGTTTTTGTCTCTGCCCTCTGGCCTGGCCTGACACTCACTTTATAGATGAGGAAACTGAGGTCCAGAGAGAGGAAGTGACTTGCTAAAATCTGACAGCTGATTTCCTCAATGGAGACAGGTCCAGCATATTTCAACTGCTGCTCCACTTTCTTTCCGTGAGGGCCATTTTAGCGAAAGGGGAACCCATAATAACCAAGAAGGGCCTGCCTCGGTTGACTGGTGTTCACCAACTAGACAAGGAATGAGGCAAATCTGGCTTATTAAATTCAACCACAATTCTATCCAGTTTTAATGACTACTTTCCTACTAAATCCAAAATTGACAGGATTCCTACCAGGAGTTCCCAGGAATTTTCTATTTCTTTAACCAAACACTCAACCTCTGAACATAACACACAAATGCAGAGCCTTATGTGCATTCTGAAAAAATTGAGAAAACCCCCACCAGGAGGGTGTAAATCTAGGGAACTAAAAAAAAATTAAAAATAGAATTACCATACAGTCCAGCAATTCCACTCCTGGTATGTACCCAAAAAAATTGAAAGCAGGGACACCAACAGATATTTGTACACCCATAATCACAGCAGCATTATTCACAATAGCCAAAAGGTGAATGTAACCTAAGTGCCCACAGACAGATGAATAAATAAAATGTGGTATACACCTACCATAGAATATTATTCAGCCTTAAGAAGGAAGGGAATTCTGACACTTTCTACAAGATGTATTATCCTTAAAGACATTATGCTAAGTGAAATAAGCCAGTCACAAAAGGACAAATACTACATGATTCCAATTACAAGAGGTACCTAGAATAATCAAATTCATAGAGATAGAAAGTAGAATGAAGGCTGCCAGGGGCAAAGGGAAGGGGAGAATTGGGAGTTAGCGTTTAATAGGCACAGAGTTTCAGTTTTGCAAGATGAAAAAAATTATAAAAAGTTATGGAGATGGATGGTAGTAATGGTTCTACCACAATGTGAATGTATTAATATTTAATGCCCCTGAACTGTACTCTTAAAACTGGTTAGAATGGTAAATTTCATACCATTTTACCACAACTTTAAAATAAAAATAACAACAATAATAATTTGTATATATAAACAAAACCAAACCTCACCATCATTGGGAAAACAATGGCAGCTGGGGATGCCTTGATGACCCAGAGCAGGAGAAGGCAGGTCAGCTGGATGAGGGTGAAGAGGTGCACTTTGCGCAGCGGCACGTGCCGCAGGTAGATAAAGTCTGGCTGGTGCTTTGCAGGCATCCCGAAGAGCTTCAGACGATCAAAGAACTGAAAGGCAACAGCTGGCATTTATTTTCAGGAGGCTTCTCTGACCAGAAATCTCGTCAGGCCCATTCATGTCTCTTGTATCACCTGTTCTGAAAGGTAGGTAACACTGTTTCCACTAGACATAAATGGAAACTGAGTCCCAGAAAGAGTGGGTAATATGGCCAATGTTGGTAAGTGGCAGAGTCAAGATTTGAATCCTTCTTTTCTTATTCTAAGTTCAAACACCTTTTTCCTATTTAACACTGTGGCACCCAAGAGAGCTCCTTCTCGGGGAGTGTTGAAAACAAAATTAGCCAATTGCATCTTTTTGCTTATTATCAAAACCAAAATCTCTTACTTGTTCTTTGAGGAGCTATTCATTGATTATCTATAGTGAAATGAAACCTCATAACATTCTGGCTATAGAAAAATATGATCATCCTTATATTATAAAAAGGAAACAGAGACCCAGAGATTAAATACCCTGCCCAAGGTCATATTAAAACTCAGCATATAAGAATGACCGCTGGATATTCAGTACAAAGAAGAATCAGCCTAAGTGATTTTATTAATATTTAATAAGTTATTTTATTATCTGGGGCACCCAAGTTGTCATTGACAAGCTCCTGATTTTCTCTGTTGAAGGACTCAGAGGAATGAGTTGCTAGGTGGGAAAAGGCAGAGTATAACAGGAAGTGACATCTGTTTACCTGGAGCAACTCCCACTACTCCCCAATCTCTTCTGCGAGCATACTCCCAGAATTAAACTCCCCTTTCTCATTCTTTAGCCTGGCATTAACCTAGAGGTGTCCATGGGTGAAAGCCAGTTTGGTTCTTGACCAACCTTTCAGATCCAAGTTTACCAGCACCTGGCAAAGCACCCAGTGTTTAATATGTGTCAAATAATTGTCTTTTGAATAATTAATGAATGACTGGATGCCAGGCCACCCTGGAAGTCTTTGTACTCTCATGCCAACAGGACTGTATTTTGTCCCATATCCAAAGAAATGTCTAAAATAGCCTAACTGGAGAGACTAGGAAATAATTTCTCAGGAACAAATTGTGCTTCCTGTGGGGAGCTGCTCCTCCGTGGACAGGACAGGTGAATTCACAGCGAGAAGACATTTCCCTAGCTGAAACATACCATACCTGAATTCCCTGTAGTGAAGAAACTCCCATGTAGAGGAAAACTCCATAGAGAACTGGCATTGGAATAAACTGGAGACCAAAGGGCAAAAAGACCAGAAGTTAAATTTGGTATCACAGCACACTCAACGCTAGACTATATAAACTTTTAAATTTCTAAAAATGAAATAAAGTCACTATAAACATTGTGTTAATTTCTGCTGCCTTTACATCATTCACAAGTAGAAGTGAAAGCAGAATCTGACAATGATAAAAAGCATTTTGTTCTGAAGTGGAATGAAATGCAAGCTAAATCGTAAGCCTCATATATCACCCCTCATATATCATTCCTTCTCCATGGGGATGGGAAGACAGACAGACAGACACAGACACACAAACACACCCCTGTTTTATGGAAATGATGCCTTTTAAATCTTCTAGAATCACACAATCATCTCCTCAGGGATTTGGTGTATTTTAGCATGAACTAAAAAAAGTTTCCTTTCTTTTTTACCGAGCAGAGACTTGAGGGCAGGAGTGGAGAGATATCTTATCAGAGAGGGAATGATTTGGGGCGAGATACTAATATTATCATATTGCACTTTAATATGCACACAGCACTTGAGTATGACTTTCCCTTCACATCCCAGGCAATCTTTGGAGCAACTCTGAGGTATGGAAATGGGGTTTATAGAATCAAGGCAAGGAAAGTCTCTTAGCTGAAGACTAAATGTGACTTGCTTTCATTCTGGGCCTAGAGAGCATTCCCAAACATAATTCCTCTCAGAATTAGAAAATCCCCATTGGATTTTATGTTGTTCCAGCTCTAGAGTAATTAGACATCCTAATTCAGTGATAACCTTGTTTGTACAACTATTGAATGGTGTCCTAAAAGAATCCTCCTGAGACAGTTATAGGAAGGCCAGGTGATGGCTTCGTTATATTCTTGGAGGAGCAGCACTCTTTGGGACCCTCCAGATGGCACCTAGGCCAGGGGTGGGAGAGGGAGTTGGGCTGGGGACAGTGAGTAGAAGGAGGTAAGGAAGGAGTATGAGGAGAGGTGGGTGGCAAGGATGCGTGGAAAGTGAGGGGACAGGACGATGGTTTAGAAATCTTTACCATCCCTCTTAATTCTCATCTGTGATGAGCATCCGCAGCGCAGGCTGGGGTGGTTGAAGATTTGCTAAAAGAGGACGAAAGGAGGCAAGGGAGATGAGGCAGTGCTCCAGCATGACTGGGGCCTGGCAATACAGCCATAGAGGTTTCCTTTTCACCCCACTTTCCTGGATGCAGGCCTTACACCCACAGAAAAAATTTTTCTCATGTTCAAGGTATCTTCCATCTTTACAAAAAACCCTCTTTTAGCCCCACTCCTCACACCAGCCACTGCCATTTTTCTGTTCTGCTTCACTGAAAAACCTCTTTAAAGAGTTGTCTGCACACATACTCCTTATTGCCTCATCTCCTACTCACGCTTTAGCCACCTATAACTGGACTTGTGCCCTATAGTTCCACTGAATTCCCTCTCTGATAAGATACCTTCCCACTCCTGCCCTCAAGTCTTTGGAAATTTTTTTAATCCATGTTAAAATTTACCAAATCCCTCAGGAGATGATTGTGTGATTACAGAAGATTTAAAAGGCATCATTTCTGTAAAAGAAGTGTGGGTGTGGGTGTGTCTGTCTGTCTGCCTGCCCATCCCCAAGGAGGAAGAAGAGCCAGACGGGTGAGATGTGAGGCCTATGATTTAACTTAAGTGTGTAATCATTTCATTTCAGAACAAAATGATTTTTATCATTGTTAGCTTCTGCTTTTGCTTCTACTTCTAAATCATGGAAAGGCAGCAGAAACTAATGTAATCCACTGAATCTGCTCTTGTCAAGTCACATTAGGCCTCCATGTTGCTAAATCCAATGGTCCCAGTTTAATCTTCATCCTTCTAGAGAGTTTCTAACCAATCCCTCCTTCTTGAAACACTCCCTTTGTTTGGCTTCCCTGACACGACACCTTCCTGGTTTCCCTCCTACCTCTCTGGAAGCTCCTTCTGAGACTCTCTTGCTATCTCCTCCTCTACCCAACCTCTAAACCCTGATTTTCTCTTTGGTCCCTTTTTCTTTAATATCTACCCTTCTCCTGAATCATCTCATCTACTCCCTAGGCTTTCAATACCCCCTTTGTGCTGCGGACTCTCAAATTTACATTTTAGTCCAGAACCTTCCTCTAGCCTCCTCACCCAGACATCTCACTCAAAATCTGAGCACAGCCCCATGCCTCACAAAATCAGTCTTCTACATCTTTATAAATGCCATCATTCTCCACCAGATAGTAGAGTCAGAAATATGAAAGGCTTCTTTAATTTTTGTATTTTCCTCACCCCCATTCCGCATCTAGTCAACCAGCAAGACCTTGGGATCTGCCTCCAAAAAGCCATGCCCTTTTATCTGTCCCTGCTGCCAACTTCCTTATTCAAGCTACCATCATCTCTCACCTGTAAGCCTCACAGGCCTATCTGCTTCTATCCTTCCCCAGTTCTAAAAACTTATACTCTAGACGTCAACCAGAATGATCTTTTGGAAATACTAACTGGATCATGTCCCTCTCCTGTTAAAACCCTTCAAAGGTGACTTTTACCACTGTCAACAAGGCCCTACATGATCTGCCCCTCCCCACTCTTCCATCTCATCTCACTGTGCTCTTGCCTTGACTCAACATCCTTGAGCCACATGGCCCTGATATTTCCTAAAACACATATCACTCTTTCCTTCCTCAGGGCCTGACTAGACTGCTTTCCTCCCCTCCCTCCACGCTGGCTCCACTTCATCTTAAATGCCATCTCCTCAACAAGGCCTTCTCTGACTACCCTAACTAAAATGGAACCCCCTTAATTCTCTGTGGCACCAGAGAACATTATGTATTTCCTTTATGTTACTCATCACATTCTGCAATTATCATGTTTGTTTTCTTAACTAATTTTCTTAAGCCCTTATCTGTCTTACCCTGCTAGAATAAGCTCTTTCAGGGCAGGGATTTGTACGTGTATCAGTTTGGCATCACTGTATTCCCAGTACCTAGCAGGATTCCTGGCACAAATCAGGCATTCAATATTTTCCTAATGAGTGAAAGGAATGATTACCTTTAAGATAGCTGTCATGAAGACTGAGCAGCCCATCAGCACAAAAATCATAAGGCCTGTCACTCTCTGTTCTCGAATGCCCAAGAACTTGGGCTGTTCTCCAGGAGCGGAGCACTCAGATTCCAGCTTGAGGCTGTTCACATGTGTAATGGACAGAACAGTTGCAGCCACAAACCAGGGCAGGCCCATGATGGAGCAGACACCCAGCATGATGGCCACCATCAGTAGGTCCAGGTGGTAGCCACAGCCTTTCTGTGGGGAAACAGAGTCTCTGTCACCATCAGTAGGTTGGCTGCAGTGGGGCATAGAAGAGTGAGCTAAGGGTCTCAGGTCCAAAGTAGAAAGGGGTTTACGGGTGAGAAGGAAGGGGTCCAGAGATCCCAGAGAAGTCTTATAGTTCCTCCAGGTTTGGAAGAAACAAAAAGGAAAATATTGGCTTGTCCTATATATGCCAATATCTATTCTTTATCCAAGTGCCCCTAGTTTACTCTGAGTCTCATACATTCAAAGATCCATTCTTCCCTGGAAGAGAAACCAGAGGCCAAGCCACATCGTCACCATTCTAGATGGCAGACACTACAGGAGTTGGGAATAAGTGTCCTTATTGAGTTCCTGTAACAACCCCGGATCATTGCCATATTTGGATGTTGCCTGCTCTGCTACTTCCCTAGGATCCTTGGGATCAAGGTTCAGTCTGGAAACCCTGGTAAGGGACACATACCAATGGGAGAATACCTTCCTCTAGGAAATAGTGGCTTAGGCCCTGATTTGAACCTCAGAAACACAAGCTATACAGTTACCTGACTCAGAGCATGCAGCTATATAGGGATCACCAGCAACTCTGCCCAACCACCTGCCACAGGTGGAGAGGACAGTAATGGACTCCAAGCTTCTTTCAAATCACACCACCATGTTCCACTCTAGTCTCATCTCCAAACCAATCTTTGTTATTAATGAAGGGAATGGAAACCCCTTCTGAGCCCCTTCTGTGACTGTTTTTATCCATGTTCTAAAGTTCCTGGTCTCAATGGGCTTACCCTAAAATCAAAAAATGTAACAGGTTGCCATAGTAGTCTTCTAGGTCAGAACCTCTTGTTACCTTGAGCTTATGTTCCTTCCTGTTAATGATGACAGCTGTGATCTGCTGGTCCATAAATATCAAGATAGTACAGAGAAGAGCTGGGATAATTGCAGCTATCACAGTCCACCAGGGATTGGGGCCAATGGGACTAATAATCCACCCTCGATCATCCCTTGTTGGCTAAGGGGAAAAAACAAGGCATTATTTTTGTATTTTAAATTAACTATAGTCAGAAACAGATCAAACTGTATCACAATATCCACATTTCTTTTTATTCCTGAATAAGAATCCTTTAAAAAAAAAAAAAAGGCTTGAAATACAGCAACTCCTTAGGAAATCTATGACCTTCCTCCAAATCCCCTTTGAAACAGTCAATCCTCAATTATCAACTTGCTGTGGAATATTCATTAATCCCGCACTCTCCAGAAGCCATGGAATCTGTGTCTACAGCACAAATAAAGGCAAAGTGGAGCCAGCTGCATGGAATCTCTTGGGCTTAGATTGGATTGTTTCAGGGACCCTCTCCCAACAGCAGCAAGTCAGAGGCCCAGGCACCAGAGACTTGAGAAGGAGCCCAAAACTGATGAACTTGGACACCTGTTTGACCTAGCAAACCTCTTCTAAGTCCCTGTAAAACAACTGTTTATAAATCTTATTGGGATGTTCATGACATACCTAAACTCTCCTAGATCTTCAACTCACCCTTCCCCCACCCCCACCCAGGGTACTCTGGAGAAGACAAGTTCACCTTTTTTGGCAAGTGGTACTGGAAGATAAAAGGCCAGGGATACAAACTGACCTGGAATTGACCCAAAGTCAATGAACAAAGACTGTCATATCTGAAGCATTTGGTTCCATATTAGTCATGACTCTAGGACTCAAAGGCTCTCCAATAACGCTACCAAGTCCCAAATTATGAATGGGTTAGCTTCTAAAAGTTTACAGAATCTATGTTTCCTTAGTAACATGTTCTAAGTGGTAGTTAAGTTCTCAGACCAACAAGAAAACTTGTTAAACCTTTAATGACATTATAACCCCTACTAATAGTACTAACCTTCGGATTGGGTCTTGGGAGCTGGGAACCATATGATATAATAGGGAAGGGAAGAAAGAAAAATTCTTCCACCCTCTCCTGAAAGTGGAGGCCGCCAAGAGCAACATTTTCTTTAACATTCTCCCATTTCCGTTTTTCATCTCTCTCCTACCTCCCAGAGGCCTTCTGCCCAGATGTCCCAGAAATTCAGTGCCTCCTGACTATCTTAAACCTACCTATCAGGGAACATTTACAAGGATTGCTTATTGCTTTCAAATTACCTATTTTACACAAAATCCATTCCTCCTTCAGGGCTGGCCTCAGCTAGGTGTTACAGAGAAAGCTGATTGTGCTCATTCACACAAGGTGAGAATGTCATATTCTTGGAAGTATTATATTAATACTTGTAAGAGGGTGTTTATTAATTCATAAACTTCTAACTAGTGGCATTTCAACAAATTTAACAAAATTAAAAATTTTCAGACAATATGGAAAATGATATTTTTAATCAGGCCTACTTTAGGGACACAGAGAGAAAAGAGAAAGGGAAGACCAAGGCCAGCTGTATAGGGGCATTTACAAGTCAGGGATTACTTTGTTCCTGTCCGCCTTCTCCTCACCTCTCCCATCTTCTTATTTCATAATTCTTCTCAAGCCACTGAGTACACTCAGGTTTTCTCTCCTTTCCACCCTACAGGAATCTATGGAACTGAGCTCAGCTCTTCTATCTTTTTTGTTTACTCAGTTAGTATCCCCAGACTGAAACAGATTTGAAGTTCCCATGTATTGATCATTCGTTTTACTTTTTGTACAGGTTTTTTGAAAAATACTACAGATTATAGAGAGTTATAGAAACAAACAACACAATAGGGTTGAAGAGATGTCATGATTACTCCAGCAAGGGTCTTACACTCCTGCTGAGGTCCCTCTTAGTTCCATTCCCCTCCTACACGGCAGGATCCTCCAGGGGAGGGCTGAGTCCTTTACGTTTTCCACCCTCCCAGGTGCCCCCATACAGTGGATACTCAGTGAGTTAATGAGTAACTCAGTGCTGTCAACAAGACTTGTTCCAGGGACCCATGTTTCCATAGTATCTGGTATATATTTACGTAAACGTACACATTCTATTGTTTTAAATCTTAACATATTAAAAACAATAAGTGGTATTAACAATACAAAATAATTTTCATTCATTCAGCAACCTTAGTTTCTCTGTTCTCTGACTCTTCCGACTTGAACTCAGCCAAGCCTGCAGAGTTGCTTTTCTGAATGGCAAGGTGTGAAGAGTAAGGTTTGGATTTAGAGGAACGTATAATACAACTCATCTTATGATTAGGATATGGAAAGGCCTTTGAAATCAGCTTGGGATCAGATTCTATGAAACTGCATGAATGCACCAAGAACCCTGAGATCTGTTTACCTTGAACACACTGGGAACTTGAAGCTTTGGTGATGGGACTCCAATCAAAAAATCAATAATCACCATTGTGAAGATAGTAAGGAAAACCGCAAAGTCACTCACCATGGAGCGTACCTAGCATGAAAAGGAATTAGAAAAATGTTTTACTAAGTTAAATACAGTAGAAAAGAATTCAATATTGTAAAAAGTTTTAAAATCCTCAGAAGAATGCTTTCATTTTGCAGTTGAATTAATGCAAGCATATTTAAACAACAGGAATATAATTAACATCCAAATTAATACCTGTAAAGTATGAATATGATGAAGGAGAATGAACCCTCTGACAAACTCTAATGTAACTCGGCCCAACATCTGATAAGTTCTGTTTGGGGCACTTAGGGCCAGGTTCAGGCTCTAGTTCTGAGCACTTGGAATTACATTTTCTGGAACCAGCCAGGGTTCTTAGCACTAGCCAAAATCTCAGCAGCAGTATCAACTCCACTTCTCCCTCATACCCAACACCCAATCTATCTGCAAGTCCTGTTGGCTCTGCCTTCAGAACATATCCAGAATCTGAGCACTTCTCACCACCACTGCTCCCATCCGGATCACAGTCACCATCAGCTCATGTTTGGGTAACTACAGCATCTTCCCTACTTGCTTCTGCCTTTGTCCTCTTCAGCTTTCTAATTTAAAACGTAAGTTGTATCATGTCACTCCTCTACCAAAACCCTGAAATGGCTTCTGGTTTCACTGAGTTAAAAACCCAAAAAGCCTTCTTGGCCTGAGGCCCACACAACTGGCATCATCACCTCTCCCAGCCCAGATCCTATTGCTCTCCTGCTCGCTCACTCTGTTCCATCCACACAGACATCCTTGCTGTTTCTTAAACATGCCAGGCTCACTCCCACCTCAGGGTCTTTGTACTTGCATTTCCTCCAGGTAACCTCTTGGACAGCTCCCTCACCTCCTTCACTCAAATATCACCTTCTCCATGAGATCTTCTCTGATGATCCTACTCAAAAGTGGCCACTCCCCACCCTAGTACTTCCTGCACTCCTTTCTGCTTTATTTTTCTCCATAGCACTTACCCCCATTTTGTTGGGGATTCCCATACAATTTAGCACCTGCCCTAACAGGACTGTCCCACTTTATAGTTTAGTGTGGCTTTAATAAAATACAGTACCTATCAAATGACCTGTGCCTGCCTTAATCTGAACTTCCAATAGAGACAGAGCAAAATATATCTTAGCCACATGCAATATCACTGACACCTTAAACTGACTTCACTATGCTTTGAAGCCTAAGATTTCCAGCTCCTCCTCCATGTTTTTTTTCAGTTCTTCTCTGAATGTTATATAAATTCTCTGACTATCCACCACTCCCACCCACCACGAAGCTCACTTGACCAGGACCCTAGGGCCCATGAACTCCTATGGTGCTTACACCCCAGGTTGGCATCCGACTATTTACTATTGTAGCAGATGGCATCTGGTTGTTTCCTGTGTTTCCCCTTCCTATGTGATGACAGATACTATCTTTTAAACTTCCGTTATACACCCCCATAGCACTTAATCCAGGCCTGACCAAGTAGTCAGTACCCAATCACCACTTGTTAACTATTTGTCCAGGTAGGAAACAAAGTCCCAGGACTTATTTAATATGTGCTTCCCTTAACTACTGCGTAGGCTCACTGAAGTCTAAGAATGTGTTTTAGTCATGTACATGTGTACGGTAAATATCTAATCAACCGAGTCCCCCACCCACTCACTTACCCTCTATTGTAAATGTGCCTGACTGAAGCCTCACAGAAAACCACCATTTCCTCCAGATTTGAGCTTCCTTCCTTCCTTCCTTCCTTTCTTTGTGTGTGTGTAAAAATAGCTTTTAATTTAAAACAATCAAAGGAATAAATCATCTATCTCTCTATCACAGCCAAATGCTCTCCCCAAAACATTTCATATAGTTTAAACAACCACTGTGACTAGTGCAAAATAAAATAAATGCAAACTCTTTCAGGAGCCAGCATTGAAACCTGCCTGGCAGGTGGGCACAGGCAACGGGCTCAGCCTCTGCCAAGGCCAAGAGAAGCAGCCTATCAAGTGTAGCAAGATTTACACAGTATTTCAACACACCCAGCTTTGAACAGGCTAAACAATACCTGGGAAGGGGAAACCAAAAGAGAATTTTGCCTAAAATGAAACAAATATGTCCAATACCCTCATATGGCTAATACACTTGGCACTTGGAAGATACTAGAAAAATAAGAACAAAGGTAGCAGCTCCCAGGCAAAGCTGAAGGTTGGCAGTTTGGGGTTCATTTTTGTTTGTTTTTCAATTGGGGTCTTATATATATTGGCTTTTAGGCAGAAAAATCTTCTGCTTTCTGGAAAGTGTTCTGTGCCTCACAGTACTCCTGACTCCAGAAAAAATATTTGTGTTGCTTCTGTTTGTTTGGATGCTTCACAGAATTACCTTTCCTGCCTATGGGATTTCACCGCCTTGCCCTACACCATGTAAGTCTAGAGTAGCACTGTCCAATAGCAGTGCAACGTTAGCCACATGTCTAATTTTAAATTCTTTAGTGGCCACATTTTAAAAAGATAGAAATAGGTGAAATAATTTTATAATATTTATTAAATTATTAATATTTTATTAAGTCAATATATCCAAAATATTGTCATTTCAGCATGTAATCAATATAAAACATTGATGAAATATTTTACATTCTTTTTTGGTACCAAGCCTTCGAGATCTGGTGTATATTTTATGTGTACAGCATAATCTCAATTTGGACAAGCCAAATTTCAAGGGGTCACTCACTACACGTGGCTGTTGACTACCACACTGAATAGCACAGGCCTAGAAAATCTGATGCAAACTCTTTCAGGGTGATTTACTGAGTGTGAAATCTGCACGACACTGTGGAGGTGATCTTATATACCAGCTTAAGAGTGCAGACCCTTGTTCTGTAATCTAGGATTTTTGACCTAAAGTAAAGGACAGAATCACATTTTATCTCACCCCATCCCGGGACCCTGCCCCTGCCCTCTGCCATCTCCCCACAGGCCTGCACTGATGTGATGCCTACAAGATGAAAAAAACATCCTTTCTGTGATAGACAACTTTGTCAGCACTTATTTTGGGGATCATAGCTGAAATTAGAATTTTAAAATATTCTATTTAGCTTAAACATTCATGTCAAGAGGAAAACAAAAAAAATATTCTATATATGTTACAGATTTAGCTGAAGGTAGCTCTGTGGCTTTTCTAGGATGGTGTTGTAAATGGATTTTTGAGGGCTAAGTGCCTCATGAACTGGAAAGTTGTGAGTTTCAAGAGTGGAAAAAAATGGGATGATGGGACCAGGTGTGGTGGCTCATGCCTGTAATCCCAGCACTTGGGAGAATTGCTTGAGGCCAGGAGTTCAAGACCAGCCTGAGCAGCACAGTGAGACTGTCTCTACAAAAAATTTTAAAAAATAAAAAAATTAGGTAGGCATGGTGGCAGCTGCCTGCTAGTCCCAGCTAACTTGGGAGGCTGAGGCAGGAGGATCACTTGAGCCCAGGGGCTTGAGATTGCAGTAAGGTATGATGAGGCCACTGTACTCCAGCCTAGGTGACAAAGCAAGACCCTGTCCCCACCCCTCCCCCCGCAAAAAATGGGATGATGACCAAAGAAAGTAAAGATAAGAGAAGTAGGCATAGAAATGGGGTGGGGACACTAAAAATGGCACGGGTCCTCAACTGGGGTATACAAACTATAGCAATCCAAAAATATCTAAACCTCTAAGTGATCCCTCGCATTTTACATGCCTGACCCTAATAGTAATCACAGGAAAATAAAAATAGAAGAGAATGTTAGGGCAGGAAGGGACTTCTGAGCTCATCTAGTCTAACCCACTCATTTTAAAGAAAAAGGCCCAGACAGGCAAAGTGATTTGGCCCCATTACATTTAGAGGTGAAGGTGGGCTCAAACCCAGGTGCTCTCACTTTAAACTGCAGGTAAGGCTCCAATTCACGTAAAGGGAATAAACGTGGCAGGGAGCAAAAGGCTCGAGCTATTTCCATTGGACTTCCTGCAGGCCAAATTGAGAAACAGGGAAACGGCAGGCATATTCTCTTGTAGGTGGGAGAAAACAGTCTAGTCAATTCCAAAATACTGAAGCAATATAAATGTAAAATGTCATTAAAATATGATTCTTCCAATGGTCTTTTTGGTATATTTTATTTATTTTAAAAGAAAATCCCCGTCTGAACCAAGCTGGATTTTTTTTTTTTTTTTTTTTTGATCCTAAACTGTTTTATTTTAGCAAGAATAAATATTAATCATGGGTTTATGAGGTAATTTTAAAGCACTATTTTCATCCAGTGATAATTTTGTACTAAAATTTTTTTTTTTTTTTATTCCAGGGTATTGTGAGGGTACAAACATTATGGTTACACTTTATGTCTTTGCCTCACCCAAGTGTGGGTTGCCCTTCCCCCCCTACAGTGCTCCCCGTGTCAAGCTGGATTTCTGATTAGTTATATGGGCATTTAGATCAATTAACAAAATAAAAACTTTGATACATTACATTTTCCAAAGACCCATTCATTGGGATTCTATATAAATGGGCATCAAAAGATATTTCTAGGGAGAAAGAGCATACAATGGGTGTTATACCACTATTCCTCACACAGAGGACTCCTAATAGGCTAAAAATCAGTTGACATAATCCATACATTTTTCCAGTTTTCAGTCACTGACAATGTTGTCTACACACATGTGAAAAATTAAGCAGTACATTCCAGACTTTTATTCCAGGGAAACCTGCCTTGTATGTATTAAGATACATATATAGATATATTTTTAAGGAAAAAAGAAATCCATTATTTGCTCCAGTTTTTCACAACTCTCAATCTGAAATAAAGAATAGCACATACACAAAACTTTGCCTTGTGGAAACAGCCCTTTGTTTTGTGAGGCAGAAAAAAAGGCAGCCATTGGCTGGGCTCAGTGGCTCATGCCTGTAATCCCAGCACTTTGGGAGGCTGAGGCAAGAAGATTGCTTGAGGCCAGGAGTTCAAGAGCAGCCTGAGCAACATAGCAAGACCTCATTTCTACAAAAAATAAAAACATTAGCCAGGCATGGTGGTGCATGCCTGTAGTCCTAGCTATTCAGAAGGCTGAGGCAGGAGGATCCTTGAGCCCAGGAGTTTGAGGTTGCAGTGAGCTATGATCAGACCACTACACTCTAGCCTGGGCAACAGAACAAGGCCCTGTCACAAAAAAAAAAAAACCAAAAAACCCACCAAAAACAAAAAAAGGCAGCCATAGTACACTATCTTACAAGATGTTTAGGCATCAAAAGGGCTAAATTTCTTTTTCTACTTAATGAAATTAAATAATTTATAACCTATAATCTTAAGTACTGATTTTACACCATTGATTTTGCAAAGTTTTATTTATAACATTTTACTATAAATTATGTATTTTGTTCAAAATACACATGCTATCTTTGTCTACATTTTAATCCAAACCCCTAACTGCCAACTGCCCCCCAAGAAAAGGCTTTTTCTTTGCGACATCTTTGGTAACAATCCATTCTTGGTGTGTGTTTGGAGTCATTATTCTATGTACTCAGCCCTGAGGGAACTGGATCTGGTAAGGCTGCTTAGCGTAGGGATTTCCATGGGAGTCAGTGACTCGAGTAACAGAGTGGGACTGCTTTAGGATATCCAAGTCGACATTAGCAGGGGACTCCAGTGAGCACACTTTAGTAGAGTACTACTGCACCATGAGCTGCCACTTTCTGCCAATCTCATTGTTCCTAAATTGAAGAAATATCAGCTGAGAGAAGGCAGGAAGTATACTCTACTAGGACCCACCATGGCACACCACCAAAGGTTCATCAGATCAAATCTCACCATATCCTCTGACTGGAAAGAGAGAGCAGGTGTTCTCACATCATTGTGCAGATGAGAAGAGTGAGACACAGGGAGGATGAAGGACTTCCCCAAGGCCCATGGCCAGATGAAGGCAGCACCCAGGTCTCCAGGCCATGGGCTTTGGACACCGTGTCCCTCACTCATGTGGCAGTAAGTGATCTCCTGTGAGACAGCGGCCCCAATCATAACCAGACTTCTGACTGTTCACAACTCACCACATCCTAATCCAACATTTGTGTTTTATTTCACCCAGTTGGTTCTGCTTTGTTTCCCTGCAGTTTCTAGAAAGATCTTTTCAACCAAACAAATACACGTTAAGCAGACAGTAATAAGTCTTTTTTCATTTGACTGAATAATCTGAAATAGAAACTCCAGAGACTCTGGAATTTGGTCCAGAGCAGTAGGAAAATTATAGAACATTATCGTTCCACTCTTTATCACATTTGAGACTCTAATTTAATCACAGGTTGCAACTAAAATACTGAAATAACCAAAATGGGAAGGATGGTCTTTCATAATATCATATAAAGTTTCTTTGCATCTGAAACCCTTAAAGTGTCCAGGATCACACTGTTGGTCACATCAGAGAAGCAGTGAAGGCAAGTCAGGTGGTGATAAACCACAAACGGGCAGAGATAAAACTCTGGCCCTAGAAAACATGGAAACGGAGGCAGGCAATGAGCTCAGAGATGAGAAAATTACAGACAAATTTGGGGCACTTCACATGATACCAGGGAGTTATCATGCGGTATGGCAAAAAGAGATTAGCTATTTTAACTAAAAATAAACATACCTTTTGGGGAGAGGGCTGCTGAGAAACAGAGACTCTACTTCTGGCAAAGTACAATATTATGCTGCTGTGGGCATCTGGCATTAAACCACCAAATGTCACAAACTCAAGTGAATTCTTGACAGCACTTAAAGGGGTAACTCAGCCCTTTTTACTCCTTAATATCTAAAGGGGGAGCTCATTTTTTAAACTGTTCCTGAGTTATAGTTTCATTAAAATGTTTACTTGCTTTTTCCAGATACGCTTAATACCAACTGGTTAGCCTTTAAAAACCAACCCATCACAGATTTTCTAGTGGACTGTAAAGCTCTCACAATCTCACACACATTCACACAATTATATTATGAACCTTGATATGACTTAAATTAAAAATACCTTTCATTGCAAATGCTCCATTATACATACATAGGTCAGAAATTATTGTGTGCAATGAAAAAAATTATGTCACAAATAAAGCCCCACCCAATTGATGATTTTCCATATGAAACAAAAGTGGGCTTTTCATTTATTGTGCGTAAGGCCACACCATTGGCCACATTAATAGGTTTCTCTGGAGGCCACTACCACTGACCCCGGAAGCAAAATAGAGGGAGAACAACCCCAGTTTTGATGTGCTGATGGCAGATCCCCACCAGCAATATGAATACCTTTTTTCTATCATCCTCTTCTTGAACATTCATAAAAACTACCTACAATAGTGTATCATTACTAATAGAAGTTTATTCCCAGTTCTATTTCTGAAGGTATCACCATGCTCTTTAAATAAATAAACTATAAATACCCCATGTATTCCTTCGTGTCTGGCTGTCCCAAGTTCTTCTTTTTTTTTTTTTTTTGTGGCAAATTAAAAAGATGTATGGCAGGGCATGGTGGCTTATACCTATAATCCCTGTGCTTTGGGAGGCCAAGGCAGGAGGATTGCTTGAGGCTAAGAGTTTGCAACTAGCCTGGGCAACATAGCAAGACCTCTTGTCTACAAAAAATAAAAAATTAGCCAGGCATGGTGGCATGTGCATTAGTTCTAGCTAGTCAGGAGGCTGAGGCAGAAGAATCACTTGAGCCCAGGAGTTCAATACCAGCCTGGGCAACATAGCAAGACCCTGTCTCTTAAAAAGAAAAAAAAAGTATATAGCTTCTTCTTGCTGATTTGTATGTTTTAGGTTTAGTTTGTTATACTGTGGTAAAAATACATGTAGCCCAGGTCTTTAGGGGGGCCTTTCTGAGGCACAAACTTTGTGGTCATTGTAGATAACCCATCTTTCCTTTTTTTTTTTTTTTTTTTGATATGGCAAATGTAATGGCCACTCATTATAGATGTTCCCATGTGACTGATAAATGCAAGTAATTCATACATGTATTATTTTTAGTGTTAACCTCATGTGATGAGTTCCCAAGAGCTACTCTCCTCCTTCTTCTTTAGCTCCCTTTCAAAGAAACAGCCCATGTAGCTACTCTACACTCGGCTTCTATTAAATAATTCTGCCCTGCCAAAACTGGCAGAATCCCTGCTCGTGACACAAACAATGCTATCTGCACCAGGTAAAGGTTGTAGAGGCTTCAAATAGTCATGTAAAGCAAGTCAAGAGCATGCTGGCTGCTGCAGTCAATGAAGCCAGTGATTTCATAAGCTATCATTAGAGCCATCCCTGGGAGGACACTTTGGGGTCCCCTAAAGTATCCAAGATGATAATACCAATTCACTGTATTCAGGAGCCAGCTATAGCTATTAATATTATATGCTAGGTGTTCCAGAATTCTGGAAATGAAACTTAACAGCATTCTGGAAATGCTATTTCTAATAGCTTTTAGACAATATTACTACTATCTTAAACTTACCTGGTACTTTTTTTTTTCCATTTACAATGTATCATTCAATGGTTTTTAGAATATTCTCAGAGCTATGCAACCATCACTACTATCAATTTCAGAACATTTTCATCATCCCAAAAAGAAACCCAGTTCCTATCAGTAGTCACTCCCTTTCCCCTGTACCTGGCATTTTTAAATCAAAAAAGTTTTGTGTATTAACCCCTTATTCCACACCACAGATCTACGAAAAAGGCTGCCAGACACTAGAAGAGAATCCAGGAGGGCTCATCAAGACATCTGGAGCTCTCCACCCTGCTAATCTACTACACGAGCAACAGAGAGACTGAGAATAGGTTCTGTTATATTAGATTCTAACACAAAAGAAATGCATGAACATGCTACCTACTCTGGTTGGGAAATAGCGGCTCGTCTTAAACGTCTTTAAGGTGCTTGAGAGGATGAAGGTGGTGAAGAAGAGAATACAGGACCAAAAAAGCACATCTGGAGTGTAGGGTCCATGATGGCCACATGCAGATCCCATGAACTCGCCATGCATCTCCTGGCATTCCTAAAGGAACAAGCATTTCTGAGTAATGAAAGGCAGATACAGGGAATAAATAGCTGTTTCCTTCTGAGTCCCCTCACTGTCACACCATAGTTGGTGGGAGCTCAGGCTGCCAGCAGCATCCACTTGACCTCCATGTAGTTATGGGGCTCTCCCTTGCACAGGCGCCTTTCAAGTAGGATGACTACTTACGATCCTAAGACACTTCAGAATGAAACCAGAACTGCTTTGAACAAACATTGTTTCTAAGGCTCTAGGAAGACCCTAGTAATTTGTATTGTTTTTATTACAGAGGGCCTCCAAATGTGAATATTTCTCAAGCCCCCAAAAGCCTGGATCTACCCCTTGCCCTGCATGGTTTCATCCCCACCTATCCTTAGTGCAGGGTTACTGGGTAGGGTGTGCATAGGAGAAAAGAGAGGGATAATCTTCTCCCTTTATGTTCAAAAGAACTTTGGTATGGAAAAAAGAAAGAAAGAATAGTTTTTTTTTTTTTGAGATAAGAGTCTCGCTTTGTTGCCCCGGCTAGAGTGAGTGCCGTGGCGTCAGCCTAGCTCACAGCAACCTCAAACT